TGGGGCATAATGTTTCAACTCAGGTATGCACTGGAACAAGATGAAAACAGCAGCTCCAAGATTACTCAGCGGTCTTAATCTATTTTAATCTTCGTGTCCTGTTTGAGTATAACAAGCTTAGACCTATAGTAATGACTAAAACTCACTCCTTAAAGTAAACATATTGTTACTTTCCCCCACAAGCTACACCTCAAAATTTCAAGTCTAAAATAAGTTATCAAATATAATAAGAAAATACTTTTCAACTGATCAGTAATAAAAACAAATAAGCTTCAATCACCAACAAAGATCAGCAAATAATCCTTAATTAATGAACAAACAACACCAAGCCATCGCCAAATAGGCATCAATCACCAAGCCATAGCAGATTCAGCAAATAATAAAAGCAATATCCGGTTAAACAGTAAACCATCACAAAATAGCCAAATGACCAGCAATATGGCTAAAGCAACCACCCCAAGCCATCAACCATTCCCACAATCAGCAAAAGTGAAAAATCTGCCAAGGCAGCGTTATCAAAATCCCAGGAAAAGCTTTGGGCTGTAATCGTGAATTAGATCCCTCACATTATATAAATGTAGAGTATAACAGAAGGTATCATTTAACTCTCTCCTAACACCTCATGACATGGTTTATGACTGCTAACAATACAAAGTTTGAAGGAAATCTTTAAGGAATTGTGTTGGGAATCATAGCTTGTGTTGATAGAAAGCCCCAAAACCCCATCTCAAAAATAGACTCAGACACTTAACCCTAAACTCAAAACACAACCCAAAAACCAGCCCCAAAATCAATCACCAAAAACCAGTCCCAATCACAAAAGCCAAAACCTAATCCAGAGTCTACCCAAAAGCAGAAGCAAAATAATGCCCTGAGTCTCCCTTCAACGACTTTTTAATATTAACTTTAGTGACCCAACAACCCTGTTAGAAAACCCCAACCAAAAAATAGATCCAAACACTTAACCCTAAACTCAAAACACAACCCAAAAACTAGCCCCAAAAACCAGTTTCATTTAGTGACACGACAACCCTGATAGAAAACCCGAAAACCCCAACCCAAAAATAGACCCAAATACTTATCCCAAAATTCAAAACACAACCCCAAAACCAATCCCCAAAAACCAGTCCCCAAATACCAGTCCCAATCACAAAAACCAAAATCCAATCCAGATTCTACCCAAAAGCAGCCCCAAAATAATGCCCGGAGTCTCCCTTCAACGACTTTTTAATATTAATTTTAGTGACCCGACAACCCTGATAGAAAATCCCAAAACCCCAAACTAAAAATAGACCCAAACACTTAACACTAAACTCAAAACACAACCCAAAAACCAGCCCCAAAACCAATCCCCAAAAACCAGTTCCATTTTCTGACCCGACAACCATCATATAAAACCCCAAAACCCCAAACCAAAAATAGACCCAAACACTTAACCCTAAACTCAAAAAAACAACCCAAAAACCAGCCCAAAAACCAGTCCAAATCACAAAAGCAAAAACCTAATCCAGATCCTATGGGCAGTGGCTTTGTTTTCCCATCATCTCAAAACCTAACACCCAAAAAACACACACTCTAACCCAAACCTAGAACCTAACCCAAGTAACCAAACCCAGCCTCAATAGGTTAAACCTGTAAACTATTAGTAAAAGCATACCCAAGAGTAAACCTCTAACCAACAGTATTTGTTTCTCATATTGTCTTGTTCAATATATCTTGTTATTGCTGTCAGCAGCATACACATTCTTATTCAGAGTTGCATTTTCAGTCAAGGGGGAAAAATGGATGATCCAAGAAGCTGATTTGTGAAAAATGCTGAAACAAGACCTTGACCCAAACTCAAGACCTAAAACCACCAAGCCAGAATTAAAACCATACCCATGATCTGCCACAATTTTTATTTACTTTTTGTTGACTTACACAACTTCGAGTGTCGTCAACAAAAATTGCATCTTTTGGAAATGTTAG